TGGCAGTGTAACACCCTAAACCCGATTAGGACTAAAGTGCCAAATTGGGCTACTAAGGTAACCCCTAATTTTCAAAACTTATTCATTTTCTTTTTCAAACATACTTAACGATATCATAATAAACATAAATAACTGTTATAAAACATTTTACAAAACCAGAGCTCCTTGACACATGATTTAAAAAATAAAAAACTCTTGAGTTTCATGAACTGAATACATGAGTAAGGTTCTATGAATATATATGCCCACTAAGCTATGGTACAATAATCTGAAGGAGATACTGGAAGTACTTCTGCGACGATGCTCTGCGAACTGCCCAAGCTATTGACCTGCCAATAAAAAACATCTGAAGGATGAATTTTCAATACCTAGCAGTATAATCGCTAATATAGAGTAGCGTGAGAATTTAATAAATACAAGCATGCTGGAGACATGTTACTAAGAAGTAGGTAAACAAATGATCTTGATTAAGTGCTACCTACTAAAGGCTTTACTGTTTATTCAATGAAGTAGGGGTCTCATGTTCCCCTAAATCTTCTACTAAGGGCTTAACAATGAGTACATTTCTAAAGGGTCTCTAACCCTACTGATTGAACTGCTACACATTATCTAAACACGACACTGATACTCTTGTACATTATCTAAATGCAATACCGGCTCTGCTATACTAGTATCTAGTATCACACATCATCAAATACTAGCCCACTAAGAGAGGGTATCGATATCACATAGAATTGGTAAGGTCCCCACTAAGCTATTGGAAGATCTACTGGTATCAAATAGCATTATGTAGACCATGGATAAAGAATTATGGTATCACATAGCATCGAATATTCCCACTCAAATGAAGCTTTGGCTTGGTATCACACATCCTTAAGCCAAGTTTTTCTGCTAATTGTTGTATTGGATTGATGCAACTATACATACATATCTAAGGCTCAAAGGCCATACAACACTAACACTGCTAACCCACTCCTTGCGAGTGTTTAGGCATCGCGCCCTGGCTAGCTCCTAAAGTGCTTCACGCACTGACAATACCCCACTAGGCAACTAAGGTATTCTGACTACACTCTAGCTTAGCTAGACAAACTAAAGTGGGGTCATCCTCTCACTAGTTTCTATCACGCTCGTTCTCTCATCTAAAACATTATGCCAGTGTTTATTATTCTGTATTCATTGTTAGTTAGTAAGCTACTCTATTCTCTTCATTCGTTACTTAAGGGCACTTTATACATTCTCTATCTCTAAGGAAGTCTCTACATGTTTTGATGATTCTACGATGATCTTTGTAGTTGTCATCCACTGGCTATACTATTCGTAAGCTCGATACCCGACTCGGGTTCAACACTGAGTAGCGTCACTTTAGTCCCTCTTATCATACTTTTTTTTCATAACCCTTGAAGTAGAGGGATGACTTATACGTTTTCGTTCAGTGACATCCTCGAAGTTCATGTTTTATGACGTTACTTATAGTACCACTTGTCAGTACAATCTCTACAATGATTCTCGTTCTCAAATATTCAATACTCGCTCGACTGAAGATACCTAGGCGTATTTCACTTAGTATGGTTGCATCCATTGTAACCCACCTTTAAGCACATTCCTTAACACTTATTCTAGTGTTTCACACATATTGGATCTCATTTATGATCATACTATGGGCCTAAGGCCTCCCAAGCAACATTTTATGCCTTTTTAGACATTTTGTGTAGGGGGTTTGAAACCACCTTAGGTTTTTTTTGAAACTACAGTACAATTTCTGCATTTTGGATAAGTTGTTCTGAAACCATCTCGGGGTGTTTCAAAACCTCAGTTGCAAATTACCCTATTTCTTACAAGAAAACTCTCCAAATCACTCTCAAAACCTTCCTAAGGTCTATAAATGTTTAATAAAGCTTATGGAATTTATTTAGGGTCATCTAGCACTATAAAAACACTATCTTTTTAACAAAAACATCATCTATGAAAAAAACAAAGACAAACCCTAACATACCCAATTACTCAAATCTTCAACAAGCATTATGGTTTATGGAAATTATGACACCACAAAGGATTAAAAATACACTAACTTGAATAAACAATCCCAAATGAAGCTCTTTGCTTATCCATACACCTTTTCTCTAAGACTTAGTTGATTTTTTAACTCTTTCTCCAGTCAAACAAGAAACCCAAGAATCCCTTAGCATAAGGAAGTTTATAGGAAGGATTGAGGATGAATTTGAAGTCTAAAGAAGTGAAGAATAAGAATCTTACTTCCCACTTTGATCTATGGAGCTTGAATAAGGAGATGAAAGAAGAAAATTGAGGAGAAATAAGGAAGAAAATAGGGTATGCTCATCTTTTCTTTTTTCTGCTCCAAATCCACGTCCAACACTCTTTAAACTCATTTTCTCAAATGGTCTTATTGCACTTTTGGTTATTCACGATTTGCCTTATATTTAAAAATCCACTTTTTTATGATCAATCGGACCTAAATTCAATTTAATTAAGCTCAACTCAGCCCAACGAATTTAATTATAAAATCTATGAGGTTCACCAACCTCTCGAGTAAACTTGAAACTACTAGCCTAGAATTTAGGGTGTTACAGGTGGTCGTTGATGAAGCTTTGATCCGACAACATAGAAGAAATGAGACATGAAAAGGCTCTTGAGGCTTGATAGAAGGTCCGGATCTTCCTTCTGGTAGGTGAAGAGGCAACATAGAGAGATATTATCTCTTGATAGGCTCTCATGCTTATGGTAAGCAAGGGAGATGAGTTTTGATAGGTTATTAAGGGCCTATGATAATGGTTGGCGTGATAAGTAAGGGAAGAGGATGATACGCTATCAAAGGCTACATTCAATGACCTATTTGTCCTTATCCTAAAATAAAATAAAATAAATAATAATTCCCTAAGGTAATGAGTTATCCCAGGCTTTATAGATTTAGCGATGGGTAACTTTATAGATTATTGGGCTCAGGGTGGTTAAAATTCAATTACGAGCATATCTTATTGGGTTTCATAGTTTGGCCTGGAAATGACTTGGGTTGTTGTGAACTAAGTTCATGAAAGAGGAAAGATGAGTGATTTTCCTTCATTGAATTCTTCAAACTTCATGTGCGTGTGGAGGCTTTTGTTAACGAAGGCTTGGACTATATTTTGTAGTTAATCTTTGAATCGTTTACCCTGTTATAACTCTCTAAAAGAGTTATATTTGGTAGCCTTAATTACCATTGTTTAGTTTAAACTTAAGAATATTTAGAAGCATTTTAGGATTAAATTTACTTAATTTTGCATATTCTGCATGATAGGAGTGTCATGGGTTTAAGGGTTAAAATTGATTTTTGTTTCTGCAAACTATTACACTGATGTTGTAGCATTGCAGAAAATGTTGATCGGATGTTGTAGTAGTAGTCTAAGCTTCATACGGTTGGAAGAACCTTCTGGATTGACACAGTTGGCTCGGGTAGCTGTCATGTGGATGATAATACCTGAAACGTGGACTTTTCCTATTAGGCAATGGAATTCTCATTCAAGCTATAAAAGGGGAGTACTTTGGTGCAAAAGAGTGTGACGATTAGGAGAGATCCAAAGTACCATTTTCCACGTTATATCTTCTCATGCCATGGATGCCTAAATCCTCTAGCAAGGATTGCTGCAGTAGAAAAGAAGCTTGCTGAGGAGCTTCAGTGGTCAGCAGATCACGTTCAGTGCCTTCTATTGAGAGAGGGAGTGATTTGAATGTTTAAACTTTTGTTGGATGTTTATTATGAACTTCATATTTTGTGTTTACTTGGGTATTTAGTTTATGAGCTTTGAACTTCATGTTTGTGAGTAGAAATATTTTGCAATTAAATATATAATGTTTTTGTTTGAATCTAGAAATATTTTCATTCGAATTGCTATATACATTTGTAAGATTTGGTGTTGTAGAGTAGCATATGTGCATTGAAAAGTGTGCAACCATTAGATTAACATTGTTAATAGTTTGAATCTTTAATTAATGAAAGTTATTAAAGTAATTCAAACAGTTTTAATCAATGTTGATCACATCAACTACGTATATCATGTTTGTAAAAAATTTGGAAGTCATGATATCATATTATTTGATTTGATAGCTAACCAATTGCTTTTTGGAATGTTGTAGCATGAACTGGTACTTCTTGTGATTGATTTTATTACTTTCTATCTAGCATGTCATTTCCTTAATACATTTTGCTATGAAAAACTCAAATGACAATAATATGCTCTATGTGGGTTTGACATCTGAAACTCTCATAGTTTCCACTTTATTACTTGATTTGTGATGTGTGCACTTATGGTGTATGCTATAGCATTTTTGTACCATCAAGTTTTTGGCATCGTTGCCAGGGAGCATCGATTTGATTTAGAGTTCTTTTAATATTGCTTACATGTTTTTCTTCATTTATATATTTCTTAGTCTTTGTTTTTACTAGTCTATGTCCCGAAGTGACAACGACTTAGAATCGTTTGATATAGAGATTGAAAGAACATTTCACAGATGTTGCTATGAATATGCTATGACTGGACGAGGGAATGATATTTTACCCCCGCTACAAAATGGAGAGAATGATGAGTTGCCATATGACATTAGAGCTGAGCAACCACATCAGAATTTAGATTATCGAAATCGTCCTATTCGTGACCATTTGGTGTCGACATTAGATGATTTGCATCTAGGCATTGTGAGACCATTTATTAATACTACAAACTTCGAATTAAATCTAGTTATGTTCCAAATGTTACAATCTACAAAAAAATATGGAGGTTCTGCTACTAAAGATTGTAGAGCCCATTTGTGATCTTTCATGGAGGTTTACGATTCTTTTATTCAACAAGGTGTTCCGAATGAGGCACTAAAGATGAATCTATTTCCCTATTCATTGCGTGATAAAATAGGGGTTTGGTTGAGCTCACTGTCGCCAAGTACTGTAGTATCCTGGAATCAATTAGTACATAAGTTCTTGTTACGATTTAACCCACTAAATAAAAATTCTAAGCTTCAGAATGACTTAATCTAAATCAAGCAGATGGATGATGAAAGCTTGTATGAAGCATGGGAAAAATTCAAAGATTTGTTACGGAAATGTCCTATGCATGGGTTCCCACATTGGACTCAAATGGAGATGTTTTATAATGGGTTAAATATTTACACTCGAATGATGGTTAATGCCTCAGAAAACGAAGCTTTACTGGATAAAACATACAATGAAACATATGATATACTTGATAGAATTTCCACCAACGATTGCCAATACACTAATACATGTAATACATTTGGTCGGTATGGTGCTGCAACAGTAGACTTGAAAGCTCTTAATTGTATGGCCTCTTAGATTTAAAAATTGATTGAAATGGTAAAAAAATTGCATAAGCTAGGAGGAATGTATGAACTCAAAGCTGTATCTCTTATTACTTGCGTATATTGCGGCGATGATCACAATTTTGACGAATGCCCCCAAAATCCAGAGTTTATCTTCTATGTGCAAAATTTTCCAAGGAATGGTAACGCTTTTAAAAATACATACAACCCGAATTTCATTAATTATCCCAATCTTTCTTGGAGAAGTCAAAAATTTTGCCAATCCACAGGATCAACAATATCAGTCGTAACATTACACTCAGTAGAGTCAAATGCCACAAACGTAGGCATATCAACCAGTTGCTCAACCACAACAAAGCATAACTACCAAGGCCAATCTTCAAACCAAACTTTAATCTTGACACCTTTTGAAGCCATGATGAAAGAAAATATGGCGAGCCAATCCACCTCACTAAGGGCTATTGACAATCAAATAGGAAAAATGGCTAATGCTTTAAATAGTCGATTGCTAGGATTACTTCCTAGCGACACTGAGAATCCTAATAAAAATGGTAAGGAATATTGTAAGGCCATTACCAAAAGAATTGAAATTTATATTGGTGACCTAGTTAAAGAACCGTAGAGGAAGAATGAGGACGCTCATCAGCATGGTAAAGGGAAGAGAAAAGAGACTGAGCCTGAATTTCATGTGAGTCAATTTACAGCACCAAATGTGGGGCAAAGCAGTAACACATAATCATTACCGACAATAATCCCTTATGCATCTAATGCATATTTGACTCTATTACCTCAGCAACATCAAACAAAATTGCCTCCACCTTTTCCACAATGCTTTAAGAAGGCAAAAGAAGATCAACAATACAAAGCTTTCATTGATATACTTCGCTAGCTTACAGTGAACATTTCATTAATTGATGCTTTAGAGAAAAAAATTAAATTATATCAAATTCATGAGGGAAGTTCTTTCGAATAAATGAAGACTTAGCAAGTTTGAGACATTCACTCTTACTAAATGATGTAGCACCATGGTTACAAGTCAATTGCCACTAATTATTAAGGATCCAGGGAGTTTCACTATTCCTTATAACATTGGTGACACATTGTAGTTAAATCTTTATGTGATTTGGGTACTAGCATAAATCTAATACCATTTTCAATCTTTAGGAAATTTGGGAGCGGCAATTTACAACTTGCTGATCGCTCCACTGTACATCCTAGTGGCATTATGGAAAACATGCTTGTGTGAGTGGAAAAGTTTATCTTTCCTATGGATTTCATCATTTTGGATTGTGAAGCGGCCAAAGATGTCCCAATTATTCTCAGTTACCCATTCCTTGCTACATGCAGAGCTTTGATTGATGCTGAAAAGGGAGAATTGACTATACGTTTGCATGATGAACATATTACTTTTAATGTCTGGAATAATGTTTTTATATCAATGACAATGCTAATTGTTTTTCACTTGATGTGATTGATATTTTTGTACAGGAGCATTTGGAGAAATGTTATTGCACATATACAAATTTATGTGATTTCGAAGCATTTGAAGAATTTCTGACAGATGAAGAAGCCGAATACTGTAGTAAGTATCTCTAGAACATATAACCTTTGCAAGTACATGATCATATCATTCAGGCACCGAATCTTGAATTGAAACAACTTCTAAATCATTTGAAATATGCTTATCTTAGAGAAAATGAGACATTTCAAGTCATCGTGGCAGCACAACTTACAACATCACAAGACATAAGAAGGCTATCGCATAGAGCATTGTTGATATAAAAGGCATTAGTCCATAATTTTGCATGCATAAAATTCTTTTGGAGGATCCCAATAGTATCTCGATTGAACATTGGCGAAGCTTAAATCCAATCATGAAAGAAGTGGTTCGAAAGGAGATTATCAAATGGTTGAATGTTGGGATTATATACCCAATTTCAGACATCAATTGGGTTAGTCAAGTGCAATGCATTCCAAAGAAGGGCGACATTATTGTTGGGACCGTCAGAATACCCCATGGCGCAGCGGAAACAAAACTCGACGGTCTCACCAACGATCCAAGTACGAAAAACTGAAATCGGGAAGAAGGGATGCAAATACATACAGTGAGTTCCTTGAAAAACAGCAAGGACAACAGTGAATACTGGTGGTGTAGATTGGTTTGAATCGTAAGCCTCCACGAAATCACGTCTCAGCCTCTACTCAATTCACCTGATTGAGAGCAATATTTTTCTTCCCCAAAACAGTTTTGAGAGAAAAACGGCTGAAGGTTTTGTGTGTGTGTTCTTAAACGGCTGCTAGACCTAACACACCCTTTTATAGCCAAGTTACCCTAATCATATTAGGGTTTTATTATTTCAAATTAATTAAATCTATATTTAATTAATTGGAATTTAATAATCCTTTTATATCCACGTTACCCTAATCATATTAGGGATTTTATTATTTCAAATTAATTAAATCTATTTTTAATTAATTGAAATTAAATATTTGGGATTATTAAAACATATATATTTAATTAACTCTAGATATATATTTTAGTAACGTACAATAAATTGTACATCTTTGCTCGTTTCAATCCTAGGGTGTGACCTTGTAGGTTCTTGTAGCGTTAGCAGTAATTATTAGAACAATTCTAATATTACATACAATGAGTGACATCTAGCAATATATCATTGTCACCTAAGTTACAAGAAAATATAATTCGACTTATCATCTTGGTGATTAAATCTTTTATGTATTACATCCTTATGTCCTTTATATCTAGAATAGGCATAAGTCTTGGAATAGTCACACTTGTATAGCCCATTTATTGTTTCTTGATATCTAGAGTTGACTGTAATTAACGAATAGTTTATGATATCTTATATCAACTTATTCGATCATGGCCACACATTTCTAGTCTTACTCAATCAAGTGGCCTGTGATATATTTCCTATTATGTAGGAAGGACAAATCCTATCTTAATCATACACACCCACTACATATATTGAGATATATTCAATAATAGTCTTTATAGAGTAACCAGTTACGGAGCTTGTTTAGCTACATCAGAACATACAACAATATATGTTGGCATAGTATTGATCTCAAGTCTGAGGATCATACATATAGTCATCACCATGAGCAATGTTATGACTGTCACATAATAATCCAAGACATATGCTCATAGTCGGTCAATCCAATGCATTATTCTCTAACAATATAATCATGTATCAATTCAGACATCTCTATGTCAATGACAACTCGTTGTCATCAATCAATAACATGTTAGTCTTAAGCGTATTATTATTGTCGATTCCCATAATAATACTTGACTAGGGATCTTTTAATAATAACAATTATGCCATTATATGGACTTTATTACCTTCTAGTTTATGTTAAACACACACACATATATATATATATGAAAATAATAGCGGCAATGCCTTTATTCAATAAAATCGGTAAATAAAAGTATTATTACAATCATCATATGATTGGTCTTTGGGCATACTTTAACAATCTCCCACTAGCACTAAGACCAATCACTCATATATCTAATACCGAGTGACTCAGTGTGATGATTATGCCTCTGCTGTGTAAGAGGTTTCGTCAAGGGATCAATAATGTTGTCATCCGTGTGTACTCTACATATTTCCACATCTCCTCGATCAATGATCTCTCAAATGAGATGAAAGCGCCTAAGAATATGTTTGGATCGTTGATGAGATATGGGTTCCTTTGCTTGTGCAATGGCTCCATTATTGTCACAACGGAGTTCTACATCATATGATATGCTGGGAACAACCCCTAATTTCAATATAAATTTCTTGATCCAAACAACCTCTTTTGTTGCTTCACTGGCTGCAATGTATTCAGACTCTGTTGTAGAATCAACTACTGTGTCTTGCTTTGAACTTTTCCAGCTCACAACACCTCCATTAAGATAAAACACAAAACCCTATTGCGATCGTGAGTTATCCTTGTCAGTTTGGAAGCTGGCATCAGTATAACCTTTTATACTAAGCTCTTCATCCCCTCTATAGACAAGAAATTTATCCTTAGTTCTTCTGAAGTACTTAAGGATATTTTTAACCGCAACCCAATGATTTTCTCCAGGGTTTGCTTGATACCGACTCGTCATGCTTAGAGCATACGATACATCTGGTCGAGTACATATCATGACATACATTATAAAACAAATAGCCGAAGCATATGGAGTCTTATTCATCCGTTCTCTTTCTAGTGGAGTTGAAGGACACATTTCCTTAGAAAGAGAAATGCCATGCCTCATAGGCAAAAATCCTTTCTTGGATTCTTCCATACTAAACCTTTTTAGCACTTTGTCTATATATGTACTTTGACTCAGACCTATAAGTTGTATTGATCTATCTCTATAGATCTTAACTCCTAAGATATACGTTGCCTCACCCAAATCTTTCATAGAAAAATAACTACTTAACCAAGTCTTAACATACTGTAAAGTAGGTATATAATTTCCTATGATGAGTATGTCGTCTACATATAAGATTAGGAAAGAAACAATGCTCCCACTAGCCTTCTTATAAACACAAGGCTCATCTTCATTTCTGATAAAACTAAACTCTTTGATTGCATCATTGAAACGAAGATTCCAGCTTTGAGAAGCTTGCTTTAGTCCATAAATAGATCTCTATAGCTTACAAACCATTCCAGTATTTCCTGGAAAGACAAAACCTTCTGGTTGTGTCATATACACATCCTCTTCAAGTTTTCCATTAAGGAAGGCGATTTTTACGTCCATTTTCTAGATTTCATAA